TCGCCGAACTGGTGGACATTTATCCAACTTTAGTGGACTTAGCACATTTGCCCCCACTACCGCTTTGCAACGCGTCAGCGCCTGCATATGAACAATTGACGTGCAGAGAAGGTAAAAGCCTGTATCCACTGTTGCAGGGCATCGGCTTGGGCGAAGAACATGTGGCTTTCAGTCAGTATCCACGCCCGGGCATAGAACCAACAAAGCATCCTAATAGTGATAAGCCAAAACTGTTGAATATCAAAGTGATGGGCTATTCAATGCGCACAACCATATTCCGTTATACGCTTTGGGTGCGTTTTCATGCACAGAATTTTAGTAGAGGTGAGCGTTTTAGATTTACATATACATACATGTACATTTGATTGATGTACACACTTTAGGGTGGTCCAAAAAGGGTAAAAGGGTAGTGTTACACCGAAAAAATATACCACCGTTTTTTATTTTGAACTCAAAAAATTACGGTATTATTATTGGAAGTTTCCTGCGGAGAAACTGAGTTTTCCGATCGAAAAATTTTGATTTTCGAGAACTCTATACCATTTCTACGAATAATTTTTGCGAATTTTTTTTTTGATTTTGAAATAATAAAGGACTATATTTTTTCGATATAGAACTATCCAACTCTCCTAGGGGACGAGAGAATTAAAGTTTCGAACTTTACTCCCCCCACGAGTTTTTGGACCACCCTAATGTCCATGCATTTTGGCTTCTAATATGCATTTGGTTTTTATGCTTCCTCATTTCAGATTGGAATGATGTTTTTGGCGAAGAGCTGTACGATCATCGCTTGGATATGGGCGAAGATATAAATTTGGCGAATATACCTGAGTTCGATGAGGCGCGTATGCGTTTGAAACAGCAGTTGATAACAGCATTTTCGAAGTAATGTGGGTGTACCACCTTTAATAATGTTTGTTTAAAAGAAATCTGTGTTAGTTGCCCGAAAACAAGACGATAAATAAATACTGAAAACATCCTCCCATAAGAGGATCTTTGCCGCCCACTTCATAAATTCTTTTGTGTAATATCCTGAGACAAATGTTTTCCTAGAAAGATATGTAAATCATAAGGTTTACAAAAATAATATATCTAACTAGCTTTTGCCAAATCAATCTGTTCTACCGAATACTATAGAATTATGCTGATCACTTTGATGCTCTTACTCAGATCGTTATCTTAATCGCGCTAGTCTCGATATTTGCCTTTCATGGGGATTCTGGTATACAAATCATATCTTATCTTAGGTATTTAGATGTTCTCTATAACAAACTAAATGACTAAGTAAGAGTTTACTTTCAAAACAGTTATCAATCCTCTTTGTTGGCGTAAAACTTCTTTTATCTTCTTTTTTTAGACTAGAATCTTAAACTGCTGCAGCCTCTTAATTTTTTTAAATAAAGCTTTAAAATTATTTTAAAAATAAATATATTATTAGAAATATTAGGGGAGCTCACGTTGAATAGCATTTTATGTGTAAAGTTGCTACGTAGCAATCTACCACATGTTTTGTTGCTCTTCCAACAACAAAATGCGTGCTAGATTGCTACGTAGCAACTTTACACCTAAAATGCTACAGAAAGTGAGTACCGCTATTGTTAATTAAACTGATTTTGAATTTCCAAAACAGGTGGCAACCCTCTTCGACCTCTCGCCGATTTGATTCGCATATGAAAAATTTAATTAACTTAACTTGTTGATTAAATTGAATTTGGACTCCAAAACAGGTGGCAACCGTCTTTAAAATCTTTTTTTCGAAATGAAGATTTCTTAAACATTTCTGGTTTGATACCCAGATATAAATATTTCATTTCACTTGTTGATTAAATTGATTTCCGTATTTTGAACAGGTGACAATCATCTTCAAAATTATTTCGAAATAAATAGTTTTAGAAAGAACCCTTTTCGTTTGACACCCACAATGTTGTAATACTTTTTTAAACTATAAATAAGTTGATTTCAACGTTCGAAAAAGGTAGCAACTTTCTTAAGAAAATATCCTATATGTTAATCCAGGCCCATAATCTATCTGCATGAAAAAATTCTAGCGCTTTGAGCGACCTCTAAATATTTTTTGATATCAAAATAAAAAAATAAAACGGGGATATAAATTTTTCGGTATAGAAGAATCCTTTTTCCCATGCATTTTTGGACCACCCTAATGCACGTATGTGTGTATGTCAAGTTTGACAAAGAACATTGGACTATACTAAACTTGTTTCACCTGGCATTTTAAACCCATTCACCTTTATCCCTTAGACCTTAACCTATAAATATTCGGACTCATTTTACCGTCAGAAAAGTCTCAGAATTCTGAGTTGTAGCCCTCATTATGAGCTAAAA